GGAAAAAAGAATTTTTTTCCCCTAGGTGTTCCCCACCTGAGGATTTTTAGGGGGGGTTGCTTCAGCCCCCAAAAACTCCCCCGCAGAGCATGGGGGGCTGGGGAATTCTGGGAGCTGAAGTCCACACCTCTTAAAGTTCCCAAGGTTGAGAAACACTGAGAGATAAACTTGCTTTTCAGCCCCTCTAGCTCTCCAGCTCTTTTTCTTGGAGGACTAGACGGGCAACAGATTGAGTGGGTTTTGATAGGTCTCCATGATTCATTCGTTTAATCCTGTCCATGACTGGGTGACTTTAGGATTTTATTTCATTTCCTGAGGTTAGTTGATTGAGCCAGTTGATCCCTTTCTGGTTTTCCTTCAATGTTTAACCGCCAACCAATTAAGCATATTATAGGAAAGAGCCCTTGAGTCTTGCAGTTTAGAGCTCAGATGTTGGACTCATTGTTTCATTATGGCCACCTCAAATCCAAGCAAAACCCTGCAGACCCCAAACTTCCCCTCTGGTTTGGGCTTTAATCTGAAGAGAAGATCAAGTCCCTCACCCTCCTGTCCCTCAAGCCAATCCATACCTGTGGCTCAGAGACGAGATCTCTCTTCTGCCTCCCCGAGTTCCCAGACTGGCTTTCCAGGTAGGGCTGGGAGAACCCCTTCCTGGGACCATAGAGATCTACTGAGACACCTAATTCAGAGGCGTTGAGCCAGGGGTGTCCCTCCCATCCCTGAGTTTGGCGCAGGACGACAGCCAAGAGACAGAGGCACTTGGTGACCCCCAGGACTACCATCTATAGGCTGCTAAACTACACAACACCACGAGGTAGCAGCAAAGAGGATTAAACAGACCCTCTTTGGTCGTCTCTGAGCTTGGTGGTTCCGCCTGCAGACGTTTCATTACCCAACTTGGCAACCTCATCAGTGCGAGGGGAGGGCGGGGTTTTCTCCCTGAGTATATGCAGACCCTCTTTGCTTCCATCCTGTGGTCATTTCATTTTGCAGTTCATATCGGGTAGCCCGACCCCCAGTTTTCTCAGGGTGGAGGGAGGCGCCTCCTCGTCACAGCTGGTGCAGATGTTGGGTGCATGAAGAGGCCAGAAGAAGGGAGGCAGGTTGGGGAAGGGAGTGGGGGTTCAGGGTACATCCTGTTTCTTGTCTGATGACTTTGTGGGGAATGCAATCTGCTGCAGCTTTAGGCTGGGATAAATCCAACCTGGAGAGGAATGTGCTGTGTGAAGTGTGGAACAACCACGCATGAACGGCAACCCACAAACGCAGATGCTTTAAAAACCATTCACAGAAATGAAAATTTAATTCTAAACAACTTGGTTGCAAATAGCTCATTCCTTTTTGTTCAAAAATACAGCCCCTAAAAAAAAAAAAAGGAAGAAAAGGGAGTGCTTTAAAAATGATTAAAATGTCTTTGGGTATATGGCCACAGTGCCAAAGGGAGTTGGAACCTTCTTGTTCAAATAAAGCAACAATAAAAACAGGGGATTTTTTTTTCATCTGAAATTCTCCCCAGAAACCTTTCCGAATGACGCCAAGCAGGGCGGGGTTGCTGTTGCTGTCTTTCAGTTCAGACACCTGGGCCCCCTCGCCTGGCTGCGGCTCTGACGTTACAGCAGAAGGACGGACGAGGCCACCTGCGTGACGTTCTCCCTCATTCACCACCTGCCTTTCTGCTGGGACTGCGAGACCCAGAGTTCCCAGCCAGCATGCCCAAAGATCCTGTTGGCTGGACGTTCTGGGAGGTGGAGTCCCAACGCACCGGGAATGAGAGAGGTGGGGGGAACTGACCACTAACACAGGGAAGAAAGAGGCCTCACCTAGGGCTGCTCATTCTCCACGAGGTGGACCTGCTAGGGTGGACGCATCTCCCCGGCACTTCTCTCAGAGCCTGCTCTTAGGAAATGTACTCGGTTTCCAGAGAATTTAAACCTCCACCTTGGTCCATGGAGCGAGAACCTGGGGCAGTTCCCAAGCCCCCCACTCCTTCCCAGGCAGTCTCCCCCGCCCCACGCGCGCGCACCTAGAACCCTGGTCTGCTGGTCCCATTGCTTCCAGGAGCTCCCGGTCCTCACCGGGAAGGCCTTCCCTTCTTCTTCTCAGAGCCTGGGGGTCTGCAGCTGGCCCCACCGCTGGCTGGTTAAAGTACATAGAAGTCATTGTTGTTGGACACGTCTGCAAAGCGCTGGAGGCCGAGGGCTGCCACCTGGGACTCCAGAGGCTGCATCTTGCTGTTATTCTGGAGGTGGCGCCCCGCGGGGTCGCCCAGCAGCGGCCGCTGGCACTGCACCTCCTGCTTGGGCTTGGGCTTGGGCTTGGGCTTGGGCTTGGGCGCGGCTTGGCCGGGGCTCCTGAGTTTGCGGTCCTTGTTGCAGTACGCCACGCAGCAGCGGCAGGCCAGGAGCGGCTTGGGAGCCTGTTTGGCCTTCCACCTGGGCGACGAGGCCAGCCCCCTTTGGACGGGGACATCCTTGGGCCTCGGGGCTGGCCCTTTCCACCGGCTCCGCTTCTTCTGGGCCTGGTCCAAGCTGGTGTCCGAGTGGGAGGAGCAGCTCTCGTTCCAGGCGGCGTTGGCACCGGTGCTCAGGCTCCGGAGGGGCAGGGCCAGGCGCAAGGCCTTCCAGAACTTGGAGCCCGTGTGCTTGGACCTCTCCCCCTTCCAGGCCAGGAAGGCCACGGACTCCTTCAGCTGCTGGACGCTCGGGTGGGCGTGCGGGAGGGGCTGGTACTCCACCACCACCAGCTGGGTGGCAATGTTGTTCTGGCACAGGAGGCCAAGCTTGAACTCCAGGAGGCTGATGCTCTTCTCCAGGAAGTAGTCGGGGCTCAAGACCACAATCATCTTCCGGCTTTTGTGGATGAAGTCAAAGATGGCTTCCGTGGTATCTAGCCAGAAGAGGACAAGACAGTGGTTAGAGTGGTTGGGCCAAAATCTCCACACCAGCCTTTCCAAGCCATAGGCTCTTCAACCACCTTGGACTACAACCCCCAAGCAGTTGAAGAAGGTTGCTTTGCCCTTATGGGCAGAGGTCAGATAAAGATTCAGCCACAGGGATGATCCAGCCGGTGAAAACAGATGCCAGAACGAATCTATTGCTCCATAAGGAGTCACAAGATTCCTTCTCGGAACCCTCCAACAAATCTGTCAGTGATGAAGAGGCTGCAACTGATTCTCTGCAAAGAAGGTGGGTGGTCCAGCCTCTGGTTCTTCTGCAAAAGCCGCCTTGTCCTCAGCCGATTCCTGCCACCCGTCCCCATCTCATCTGTTGTGCCTGGCAGAAGAACCACAAAGAATCTGGGGCCCAAAGAAGTTTGTGCATATAGAACGCTACCACTGCGTTATGTGCCCCCTAGTGAGCGCATGGTCTTCTGGGGGAAACCCTTTGTAGCTCTCTGTGGGGAAAGACCCCGCAATGCCTGTTTTGAAGCTTGTGGTTCTGGGTCTGCCACTGACTGTGCACCAGGCCTGCATGGAGATCAACCCATTTCTCAAGGTCCCACCTCCAACTGAAGCGGTCTGCTTCTTGCACACCCCAAATTGTTGTTGCTGTCTAAGATCTCTGTACGTAGAAAACTAGATGCCAAGGAGGAGGGGTGAAGTGCCTTCTCCTGCCTGCCTGCCTGCCTGCCTGCCTGCTTTCTGTGTGAAGGGATTAAGTGATCTCCTGACTGTGTGGAGGAGAATGCCATCATACTGTCCCACTGAGCAGGCTAAAGGGGCACAACCTGGGCATGGAATATTCTTGCTGTCCCACCTATCTAACTGGATTGGCATGGCCCGTGCCAGCCCCAGGCATTTTGTGACCAGAAGCAAAAGGCAATATGTGTCAGGCTTCTCTTGGAAAGCTAGCCTGGAAACAGATAAGCAGGCATATACGAACACAAGGGCTTCCAGTAAGTAGGGTTACTACAGACAGGCTAATGGAGCGTTTGGGGAAGAATTCCAGCCGCTGCTGGGTGTTAAATAGGAGCCCCATTTATAGTGACACCCAAGTTCCAGTTCTTGAGCCTCTTTTTCCCACTTGCACAATGTGCTGGACTAACAGCCATTCTCTTCTGAGTCTCTTGTTTTAGTAGTGGACTGATCTAACGTCAAGTTGTGTCCATCTGCTGACTTCTTGACACAGCCAGTTTCCCTGCCGCCAACCAGACTGGCACGGGGCTCTTGCAGGAGAGCTGTGTATAAAGCTGGCATTTGCCTACTGTCCTCCACCATGCAGGAAGACAGCGGGCTGCTCTGGGGCCCGCAGCAAAGCCCACAGTGGTGTCCCCGTGTGCTTCCTCACAGGCAGCGTGTGACACAGGCTCCCATTGGATTTTTGCTTTGTTTTCTTTTCAGTTTGAAAAGTCCGTTTGATTCAGAATGGAAGTTGGATCAATCCCAAAAACCTGGAGGAGAGGGGTGTGCCTGCAGCGGCCTGAAATGGCCTGAAATGGCCAACAGAAATGGGGCAGACCCCAGCTCCTGGCCGTGACGTCAGCAACGTTGTCAATGAGGAACCGCTGACAGTCCCCACAGCAAGGCCTGTGTCAGGAGAAGAGGGGAAGCACTACTTTGACGCTGAACAAGCTAAAGACGGATTCAGCCGTCTCCAGTGTGAGCTGGGGATGAAACGAAGGTGACCTCCTCTGGATATCTGGAGGCCGAGTCATGGCAACTGGACTTCTTTTCTTTTGGTGTGATATGTTTCGCTAACCCTGAAGAAGCTGCTTGGACAAGCAGCGCAACATATCAAAGCCAAAGAAAAGAAGTCCAGTTGCTGTGACTCAACCTCCAGATAATTCCACCCGGATGACCGAGAGGCTTCATCAACTCATCGGAACATGTCCTTTAAAAATGGTAGGCTGGGCCATGGCTGGTGGGACGTGAGGATGAGCTCTCTCTGGCGGGATCAAGGAATCACAGACTTGGAAGAGGCCATTGAGGCTCTCAAGCCTGTGCCCTGCTCAAGGTAGGTCTGAGCTGTCTGTAATTAACCAGGATAAATCTTGGGTCACCGCGTACAGCACAATAAAGATGCTGGTTCTGGTTGGCAGCCCTACAGAAGGCAAATTCCGTACTTGGATACCTAGCAAATGAGGCGAGAGTAAGACCGCCAACTTGGTAATGCCACCATACAGATCCAGGGTACTTCTGCACATGGAACATTGCATACAGTTCTGGTGGTAACATCTGAAAAATAATACAATAGGTCTAAAAAAAAAAAATGAAGAAGATGGCAAACAAAAGGACCAGGGGTCTAAAACACTTTCTCTGCAAGAAAAGACTAGAAGGTTTGGCATTTTTAGTCTGGCAAAAGACGGCTGAGGGGCACAGGACCAGAACCATGCACGGCCTAAGAAAGTGGGCAGAGAAACATTTTCCATCCTTTCTCCAATCCCTGCAAGATTCGTTGCCAGAAGACCAGCGATGGCTGCTAACGTGGATGGCTTTCCAGGGGTTAGGCTCATCCGTGGTCCATCCAAGGCTACTGGTCTTGAAGGCTCCACGTTACTCGCCAGTTAGGGGCAGCAGACCTCCGTCCTGGTGGCTGAGAAACCGCGGGGGGTGGGGGTGGGAACAGGCCTCTGCCCAGGGGCGTCTGCAGGGACAGCCTTTGGCCTCGGAAGGGCAAGCATGACCAGGGGATCCCTTTTTATGCGCATGTGATGCGTGCCGCACGCATTAGAGGGGAGCAGGGCTTTGTCCGCCCAGCCACGCCTGCCATTCTGAAGCCAGGAGCCGTGGCTGGGGACACCCCCTCCTCTCCTTTGCGAGCACATCAGAATACAAAGAAGCACCAGTGAAAAATGTCCTGTTCTAGAGAGGAAAAGGCTAAACTAATTAAATCCATGTTTTATAATATCTTAAAAGCTCATTTTCTTCTACTCCTTTTTTACTTTTTCGTGATTCATATTCTGATATAAAACGAAATGAACTCACAAATTCTCTAACAGCTCAAAAATGCCCCAATATTTTTGCTTTTCCTAATTATTAAGAATAAAGCCAGAGGAAAAGGGTTTCACGTAATAGATTAATCTTAGTGGTGTTTATGAGCTAAAACTTGTCAATTAGAAGCTACTAGTCAATGAGAAAGAACAGTTGGTTTAATTTCTAATCTTAATGGAAAAGGATTGTTCTATTCTTAAAGGGCATCAAACTCAATATATCTGGATGAGCAGAATAATAAACTTGGGAAAAGAGTAAATGCATTTTCCTGGGGCAAATACTAAGAATCGAATAAATAGTAAATTTGAGTGTCTTCATTTAATCCACTGGGGATTAAGGTACTTAGTGACAATATCCATTTATTTCTTTCCTTAATAATGCTGTTTCCTTCTTATTATTTTTTGATCTATAGCCCCAAACCATAGCTCATAAAATGTTTTACTAAAGTTTTTTTTTTTTTTAATTACCTAAATGTTCCCCAATCTTGACTTTTAGGGGTTTTAAGTCTTGTCCTCATAAATTTTAAGGCATGAACCCTGAATTATACGTATAGTGTTTGTACTCTTACACGTTTTGTAAATAATTCAGGGTCCGTGTACTAACCTTTGAGTAGCGCTGTGCCAGAAGAGAGTTAAACCCACATTCCAAAGCAGCCACAGATAGGCCCGGCAAGAGTTGCACCATGAAGCCGCCAAAAGTCAGTTGTCTCTCCCCCTTTACCAGGCAGACCCTCCCACCACTGCTGCTGCTCAGCTGCTGTTCATGACCCCCAATTTGGAGATCCAGGGGTTATGGGGCAGCACCTTGAAGGAATCACTCTTCAGCTGCCCAAAGGAGAGACTGGAGGGATCACATCTAATCCAGCCTAAATCTGGTTGAACCCAGCTCCTAGGACAGGGTTTCTCAACCTTGGCCTCTTGAAGGTGTGTGGACTTCA